TCTCTATTGTCTCTTCTTAGATTCTAACCATCCTGTCTGTGCCTCAGATACACAATGCCATAGCATTTCCCTCATCAACATTAAATTTAACTAGCAAATGTCTAGTTCTCACAGATTCTGACATTCATACTAAAATTGCCATGAATAACATTGTAGTTTTGTACATTAACCCTGTATCTGTTACCAATTCTATAGCATGCTACTGATACTTCACATTCAAGAAAAGACAACAGAGACCCTTAAAATGAACTTACTGCATTTCAGTCATTGGTATTAACCACTGCTGTCTCAATTATTATACTTGAAATTATCCCCCAGAATATTATGAGCTCCTTACCTTGTCATAGTTTTTAAAAAGGAAAGAATATAAAGACAGAAAGCTGAAAAGGGAAGGAAGGAGGAAAAAAGGACAAGACAGAGAAAAGGAAGGAAGGAGTGGGCTATACAAGAGGAGCCACAGTAACCAGCGTGATGCTCTGAAATGTAGCTGTGCCTCCCATCCAAAATGTCTTTTGAGCTTAATGTACAGATACTGGGGGGGACACTTCTTTCCCTGCTGCTTTAGGAAGCTGTTCAATTGTTTCCACTTCTTTCTGAGCTCCTAGCTTTCAAAAAGAAAATGTGCACTTGTCCCTAGAAAACCCAATATAACTTGTCCTGTTTGCAAAGTAAACTTGTGGTGAAAGTGAAGTTTTTGGCCTAGAGGTCATGCCCATATGCCACATCCTACTGTCTGCACCTTCATGCTATATTGCACACAATGAAATATGGCCTTTTAGACTCCTTTCCCGACCCCACCCCCACCCTCTGCCAGCTTCAGCTCCTGACAGCCTTTCTCCTCCCTTCCCCAATTTGTAAACATAATGTGAATGCTTCATAATCTACACTCAAATATTAAATCTGAAAGAGTCATGGTCACCATGGCTGGGGCGATTTTAGAATGAGTCTGGATGCAGGCTGCCCAGCTGGAGCCATGCTAGCATGCTTCTACAGGAGCGAGACCTGAACCACATTAATCTGCTTCATTTCTTTTGTGAATCCTTCCTTACTTGGAAACAAGAGGGATTGAGCCTCTGCAAAGACACTCAGAAACTTGTGTCCTTTAATTTTGTTAGGAAGGAAAGCCATCTGAAACCCTCAACCAATAAATAAACGAAAATAAATCAAGCAAATCTGACTTTCTTTTCCAAAATGAATTGTATTGCCCCCATTGAAAAAGAATGAAGGGGTATGGAAAAATGTGGGGTGGGAAACTGGAGTGTGAAACAACTCAACAGGGAATGATAATGTTGCCCAGTGCTTGCATGACCCAGGATTTGAAACTTCTACAGTCTTGCTGGAGAAAGTGGATTGGTGACAATTACAGTCCCTCCACTTCAAAGCCTAGTTCCTATGTAGGGCGACTTTTAGCTGCCCCAGCCTGGTAGGTTTGATAGCTATTGTCATAAAATTCAAACCATTAGCTCTAGAGGGGATAGGGGAATCAGAGTGAGGACCAGGAGTGAACTTCAAGATCTGGGTGAGCAGCACACCAAGGTATTTCTTTAGCCTAGATGCCGGAGATATAGGAGATATATCAAGCTTGGTAGGGGTGACTTGGAGTTTAAGGCAAATTGCAGTCTATGAAAAATAAGTTACCCGCTCTTTGCAACAGTAGCTTCGCTTGGACTTATTTTTCTCCCATGTCCAGACAGGGTCGTCTATTGAATGAGGCTCTTTTATTTTGCATGGGGCAGGGGATTTGTGACCATGGTCCCCCCTTTTATTCCTCTCTCTATGGAAACCCAGATCATGGGGAGAAATATGCAAGGCTGAATAAAGAGAAGCCACAGAAAGGAGCGCTTGAGAGCAGCATCTGTTACACTTGGGAAGTTAGACTGACAGGAGAGGGCGAAGGAAACCTCTCTAGTAGATTAGTTAGAAGAGCAAGAAGATTTGACTACATATAGATATTTTCTTCAAAAAGAAAAATATGTCATATTCCAGGGAGGATTTTTTATAGATGCCACAGGGAGTAACTGCACCTAATAAGATAGGCATTACTTATATTCATCAAAACAATTTTAAGTGAGAGAAGGAGGAAGAGGGGAAAGGAGAGAAGATGCAAGAGAAGAAGGGGGAAAGTAAGTAAAAAGGAAAGAGATGATACAGATTGCTGTTCCTAATATACATCAATCTTGAAATTAAAGGGTAGAATACAGGGCTATGAAAAACCTGTTCCTGGGTGTAGATGTATCCTCCTCACTACCCTCTTCCTACCTCTAGACTGGAGAGTAATGGTCTGAGCTCCTTTTGCTTTTCTAGAAAAAGCCGGTTACCAAAGCAAGGGCACAACTAAGAGTAATGTGGACTACAAACACTCATGTAAGTCAGAACTAGATAAGGATCCCTTTTCACAAAAAAAAAAAAAAAAAAAAAAAAAAAAAAAGCTTTATTAGATGATAATTATCTTCACCTCCTTAACAGCCAGACTGAGATAAGCAATTTTTTTTCACCCAAATGCAGCTGCTAGGTGGGGGTGGGGAACATACCAACAACATGGCAATAATCATGATCTGAGTTTTACACATACGGTTTCTTCAACACATTTCCTCTGACCTTTCAGCTGACCCAACAAATACTAGAAAACGATCATCAAACAGGCAGTCTAATCGAGCACCGAAAACTTCTTTTTGTTTGATTTTAATGAGTTCTTATTATTTAGAAGCATAAGTTCAGGCAAATTTGGATTGCATTTGTGTAAAAAAAAAATGACGCATACATTCAGCAGTAAGAAACAGCCTACCTCATTCCTCCACAGAAAAGAGAAGAGATATAGAAACAGACACACAGAGATGGAGAGAAAGAGAGTGCCTGCGCACAAGAGTCTAAGAGGGAGGGAGGGAAGGACAGAGGGTGGGAGGGAGGGAGAGAGGAAGGAAAAGACTGAGGGAGGGAGGGAGGGAGGGAGGGAGAGAGAGAGAGAGAGAGAGGCAGAGGGAATGAATCGATTTCTAGGTTAAAAGCAGATAAGCCCTTACAATAGGGCATCGGCAAATGAACCTACAATTTCAATGAGGAGCAGGGTGAAGCAGGGAGGATGGCGAAAGATCTGCTCTGACAATAATTACTAAGCATTTGTCTTTGAGAGCAAAAGATTTCAAACAGACGCCAGGTTTTCTCACCTAACAAATGCACATTTACATTTACCAATCCCTGCTCCTATTACTTTGTACTGTCATAAAAATAATCATCAGTTTCACATGAAATAGATGCTTCTTAGCTATATAAAGGAATGGCAGAATAAGCTCACCTTGCTTTAATTTTTTTTCTCATTTTCTTGCATTTTCTTCAGATCTGTCTTCTTAGAGAAACTAATGCCTTAATGACTTTCTGGTAGCTGCAAGCCTTCTTTTATTTCAGCTAAATATATGAAAATGTATGCAAATTTAAATCAAGCTTAACCTAGGAGCTCTTGCAATATATTTAATGGAATTTCAAACCAATAAGGGCACTCTGATGCCGTCTTCTGTAAGAGCAAATATAATTACACAGCTAGGTTGCCTTCAAAATTACTGAAGGAAAGGTCATTTTTTTTTTTAAAAAAACTTCAGATTTGGTGTGAGGTACTGTGTATTTATTGTCTTTCCCCAGCTAGTATAATTCTAAAATCTTTGTATTTTCCCCAACTCAGGTTGCAAGCAACACGTTTGCATGAGGCTCTGGAGCATATGCACTTGCTCTTCTCTAACTCCGAAAAGCCTAGGAGGCTATGTCTTTCCCCTAATCAAAATTTGAAAAGAGTCCGGTCCCAGGCTGAAAGCTAATTCAAGCTTTATGGCAGCTGTAGAGGAGTGGGAAGGCTGTGCAAGATGCCTATCCACCAAAATCTCTCTCTAGGGGTTTCTTCCACTTTCTCTCTCTACCCCCCCCCCAGCTACCTTTTTCTGATCCCCTTCCCTCTCCTGTCTTTTTTCTGCTTATATCTCTCTCCGATTCTCTAAATTTTCAAAGAACAGTAGAGGAACTACGTTTCTTAATATTTCCCTCACACTAGCAAGGAAGCAGAATGTAAATGTTTCAAAGAGTTTTGCAAGGGAACAACAATGGGTTGGCATGGTATGATGAAGACTTTCCCATCTGCCTATTGGGAGTGAGGGAGCAGGTTTTCGGCAGTGTCTAGGGTGAGTGTGAAAGACATCTGCGGGCTTCAACAAGCAGTGCCTCTGACATAAGCTGAGAGACCTCTGATGGGAACTGACAGGGGAGCAAATATAAAGCCAGGTTCCCAATTAAGCAGCAAACTTCAAACTGACTGAGTCTTGCAAGGATCACATTAAAATTTACATTTACACACTCTCAACTCCTCACACACTGGATCAAAAATTTAAGGGGAAAAAACAGAAATCTATTTCCTAAAGATTTTTAGTTTTTTATAAATAAATATATTACAAAATCAAAATAAATTGAAATAGCTTTTATTGGATTATGAATATTTTATTTGGGTTTTGACCTGAGACATTACTTTGCTCAAAGTTTGTAGATGCATTTTATTTTGGAGTTCCTGCCATGCAGTAACCCAGAGTGCCAGAGTGCTGACTAAACTTGAAAATTCTATGCACTAAGATAAAAATGACATTATAATTTGTTTTCTTTCTTTTTAATTTAAATAAGCTAAAGGGATATCTGAAACAAAAGTTAGCCTCCTCACTTGCACTCCTTCTCCATCTCAAAAAAAAAAAAAAAAGTAGTCTTCAGGAGGGGGGAAAGGGTTAACTAAAAGAGCCGCTGCCACTCTGAGCTAGGCAGCCAATGGAGCCTGAAGATTGATTCACTTCCTGCTTGGGTCTCTCTGAAACTCCCGAGCTTCGCCAGCCTAATTTGGAAAGTGAGCTCGGCCTCCCGCACCACCATTGGCTGTGTTTATGCCTGGCCAGGCCAAGTCGCACTGCTATTGGCTTTGGCGGGTGCCGGTAACCCGCGCGAGCGGCTTTGGTTCCCCGCACCATAGATGTCAAAGGCTGAAGCTGCTCCCTTTGCCACATTATAACTAGTAGAGGATCCTCACCGACCATGGCCACAGCTGCCTCGAATCCCTACAGCATTCTCAGTTCCAGCTCCCTGGTCCATGCGGACTCTGCGGGCATGCAGCAGGGAAGTCCTTTCCGCAATCCTCAGAAACTTCTCCAAAGTGATTACTTGCAGGGAGTTCCCAGCAATGGGCATCCCCTCGGGCACCACTGGGTGACCAGTTTGAGCGACGGGGGCCCGTGGTCTTCCACATTGGCCACCAGCCCCCTGGACCAGCCGGATGTGAAGCCAGGACGCGAAGATCTGCAACTGGGCGCAATCATCCATCACCGCTCGCCACACGTAGCCCACCACTCGCCCCATACCAACCATCCGAATGCCTGGGGAGCAAGCCCAGCTCCAAACTCGTCCATCACTTCTAGCGGCCAACCCCTCAACGTGTACTCGCAGCCAGGTTTCACGGTGAGTGGTATGCTGGAGCACGGGGGACTCACTCCACCACCAGCCGCTGCCTCCACACAGAGCCTGCATCCAGTGCTCCGGGAGCCCCCAGACCATGGTGAGCTAGGCTCACACCACTGCCAGGACCACTCGGATGAGGAGACTCCAACCTCTGATGAGTTGGAACAGTTCGCCAAACAATTCAAACAAAGAAGAATCAAGTTGGGTTTCACGCAGGCCGATGTGGGGCTGGCACTGGGCACACTGTATGGCAATGTGTTCTCCCAGACCACCATCTGCAGGTTCGAGGCCTTGCAACTGAGCTTCAAGAATATGTGCAAGCTGAAACCCCTGCTAAATAAGTGGCTGGAGGAGGCTGATTCATCCACAGGAAGCCCTACCAGCATTGACAAGATCGCTGCCCAGGGCCGTAAGCGCAAGAAGCGAACCTCCATCGAGGTGAGTGTCAAGGGCGTACTGGAAACGCATTTCCTCAAGTGTCCCAAGCCTGCAGCGCAGGAGATATCCTCGCTGGCAGACAGCCTCCAGTTGGAGAAAGAAGTGGTGCGTGTCTGGTTCTGTAATAGAAGACAAAAAGAGAAAAGAATGACTCCACCAGGGGATCAGCAGCCACATGAGGTTTATTCGCACACTGTGAAAACAGACGCATCCTGCCACGATCTCTGACTGGAGGAAGCCAAGAGGTGGCCCGCAGCACTGGGAACAGTGCGAATATCATTCTCCCTTCCTTCCTTTCATCATTACATTCTTTATTATTGCTATCTTTCTATCTTGCTAGCTCTTTCTTTCATGGGGTTTCTAACTTATGTTAAGAAAGGAAACACACATACGCGCGCGCGCGCACACACACACACACACACACACACACACACACACACACACACTCAGACTTCTCAATTCGGAAACACAATTATATTAAGCAGTTCAGGTGGGGACCTCATATTCCCTGCTGCCAGGGCAATTTCCCCCCAACCTTCTTTGCTGATCAATATATATTGTTTACTCTGAATAAGATTTGTTTGGTTGCCCTCTAAAAGGGGCAAGGAGCTGGGTAACAGGGGTGGGGGGGGAGAGGGTGGGAAGACAGATGTGTGCCTATGAATAACCTTTCAGCGCCTTGGTTATAGCAGCTGTATTTCAGGTGAAATCTGTTTTACAATAGACTAGTTTTGCATTTTTTAAAACTTCTATAGCGTTTCTAAATGTCTGCGGTGTTTTACTACAAGCTGTACACAATATTTGTGAGATAATTTGTATCTAATCGACCATTCCACGTTGTTATTGCTATTATTATTATTTCTTCATTGAGCTGATGGGTTTTTAATTGCTTAAAAAAGGGAGGGGAGGCTGAAAGGAGGAAAGAGAAAAATGTTCACCTCTTGCACTCCCACACTTTCGAATCTGCATGGGGAGGAGAGAATAGGATGGAGAAAGTTGTTGTTTCTGTTTTTTCCCCCTGGGACTGAGTGCCTATATGGGCAGAACAAGCAAACTGAATGGGTTTGCAAAGTAGCTTGGAGTTAAGACAGGCTATTTCGCTGCTTTTTGCCTCCTCTCCTCCGCCCCCGCCTCCCCCCACCCCCGCAATTGTGGAATTTCTCAAGGTTTCCACAGCTTAAATCCTGGTGCCCCAGAAGGATTCAGCAGTGGCATGCGAAGAATGGGGTTTGAGGGACCAGACGGATTTTGAATTCACCGAAGTCGTAAATGCCTGTGCCTGAAGTTTCCCACAGGCTGCCAGCATAGTCAGGTTGACAACCTGTGCTATCCCACTTACACTCTCCTAGATGAAAGACTTTGCCTTCGCAAATGGTGGCTTTCACCGGAGACCATGACCCAAAGACGCTGGCGACAGATTAGGCCAGCGCCTCCCAGTTCGCGGCTCGCTTTCAGGGTGAGAAACACTGTCCATGCACCCCCTGCTTAGTGCGGAGCAACAATAAAATGACTGGCAAAAGTCAAGGAGATCCTGGTCCAGCCACATACCACCTCCTCCCTCTTGTACATACCAAGGTCTGAGTGAGCTCTTGGGGAGCCTATCTCAGCCTCTTTGACAAGCACAGCTGGGGAAGCCCATGGCGAAGATTGAGCGAGCTAGGGAGCGCCTGGGCGGCTGAGTTTAAGCTTTTTTCTTAAAAAAAAAAAAAAAAATGTGTGTATGTATTTCTGTGAGTGTGTGTGTGTGCGTGCAAACGTGTGTGTGTAGATAGCTGTATGTATCATATTACTGTATACAAAAAAAAAAAAAAAACTTAAAAAAAATCTCGCTAGGCTATGTAGAGATCCCAAAATTAAGCGGTTACCGTGGCTTTATGGCTAGCTTTCTCTCATGTCCATAGGACAGGTACACAGGTGCACCTTATCCCCAACAAGCAAAGCACTCTGTGCTGGCTGGCCCAGTGGAGCACCCATGGCCAGCCAGGCATGGCAGGCCTGAGCTGAAGGGGATCTCAGCAAGCCAGGCTGATCTCAGGATTCAGCCTGCAGGCGCAGCTGCGTAGACAAAGCTTCAAACTACCTAAGGACCAGAAAACCTTGTGCCCCTTATAGAAAATGAGCTAGTATGGGCTGCCAGGCCTCTGGTTGACCACACTGTGTCTCCTCTAGCCGCAGGTCGAAGAGCATATATTAATTCAAATCCCGGACCCTTTTGCTGTTTTCTCCTTTCTTCCTTCCTTCCTTCCTTTCTTTCTTTCTTTCTTTCTTTCTTTCTTTCTCTCTTCCTTCCTTCCTTCCTTTCTTCCTTTTCTTTCTTTCTCTCTCCTCTCTCTTCCTTTCTATTTTTCTCCTCTTTCATTCTTTTTTATAAGCCTCTGCATTCTCTTACTTTTAGGTTTTAGTTCTGCAATTTTATTTTCCTAGTTGAATTCGTAATTCATGTTTCACAAATGTTCGAGGATGGTGGGTTGTTTGACTCTTTTTTTCTTTGCAGTTAAACGCTATGGTTCAAACCTGAGTTAACCCAAATATTTCTGCCGACTTTATAATTGTACAGTTTTGTATATTAAACGTTTTTGAAGTTATTAATTTAAAAAGATCATTTAGTTTATTCATTTAGTACTGATGTATAATAAACGCTATTTTCATTAAGAGTTGCTTTTTCAACTATTTTATTCAAATTGCCTATTGCAGTTGCCAACAATTATTTATTTTCAATAAATTCTGCATTGTGTTTAAATAGAAATCGTTTCAAAGATGAGTTGGGTGTCAAAAAGAAAACAATTCGCTGTAATGTTTGATGTGAACAGTTTTAGTCAAGGGATTTATATTGACGCAATATTTTATTGTTGTAAAAGATTTAAAAGGTTTAAATAAAACATTTTTCCAAAAAAAAATGTTTTCTTCTCCTTGCCTTATTGTGTTGTGTGTAAAGTGGAGCATTTAAAGAGATATGTCCTGGGTGAGCAAAGCATTTGCTTTGCTTCGGCTTAAAATCATTAGTTTTTCTTTTGATTCTAGTTTCTATTCCTCTGACATTTGCCCTTTCGACTCAGAAATATACCCTCATACACAATACCTGTTTGTGCACCCACATCTATGTGATCACATAAAATGTGCACCTAAATGGGGAAAAGCCAGGTGGGTAAGACTATTAGTGTTCTCCTTGAACACAATGTCTTTGTTAACCAGTGTCTTCTATTCTACTCTCCCACACCCCACACCATCCTGCTGCCATTCCCAAAATTAGACCCAAACGTTCCCAGGACTTCTATGTTTCTTATATGTTCTCATCCTTCTTTCTCCCCACCCCTGACAGTTGCCTTTCTAATAAGGTACCTGGATTTGATTTTATGTAGTGATAGTCTTAAGGTGCTCCTGGATCCAGAAACCTCCAATAAACCATTTCAATCTCTATCCAGTTTGTAAGAGGGAAAAGAAAAGAATATTAGACAACTGGGGGAATTTTGATTTATTATAATTATCTTTCCATTCCCATATATAATTTTACATGTATTAGTGATTTCATAAATCCTTTCAGGGACTGTCACCTGTAGTGTTAGCTAATTAGTGACTTGCCAAATATGAGAAAATTCTATTTTAAGGTTTTGGATGTACAAGCATGCTTTGTACAACTATTTTTGGTTTGTATTTGAATAAATAAACAAAATAAAAATTTCCAGTAATAAAGACCCCTTTTACAATACTCTGATAGAGATAATTTTCTTAGACAAATCATAATTATTTAATCACTTTAATAGGTAATTATTATCACAAGTGATACCTTAACTTTTATAGATTGCCTGATTATTTACAGCTATATAGTAAAATATACACATATCACTGTTTTCTACAAAGTGTGCCACATGTTGCATGTATATTCATGCATATTCTTCTTTATATGTAATATTGATTTTAAAAATTATTTTTATGTGTGTGTGTGTTTGTGTGTTTCTGTGAGTATATGCCACATGTATGTGACTGCTCACAGAGGTCAGAAGATGGTATTCCATGCCCTGGAATTTAAGGCAGGTGTGATCCACCCAAAATGGATTCAAGGAGCCAACTCTGAGTTCTCTAGAAGAGGAAGAAGCGCTCTTAAAGTGAGTCAACTCTCCAGCCCCATAATATTGATTTTATAGTGTTGTATCTACAAGTACAAAGCCTATACTAACAAGCTGCTAGTTCTTTTTTGCTCCATATAACCACTTATTTCTTATTAAACATCTTGTAAAAATTAGTAGATTATAATATTACTTCTTTTTATCAAAGAACTACACACAACAAATAATTTTAGTTTGTCCTGAACTTTTGGGTGAAGTCATATGCAGATATTTTAGGAGGCATTTATATGACTATATAGACATAGAAATCATCAGCACTTTATTAATATGTTAATATACATTACACATGTGTCAATGTATCTCAAGGCTACTTTCCTTATTGCCTTTTGCCTTCTTAGCCATAACCTAGCTGTCTTTTATGATGACCTTATCAACCTCTGTATAATGAGAATATTATTATTAAAAATCTAGTGTTGTTGATGCTTTTGCATAGGGCTTTCCCTTTCTTGAGGTTGCTTCTTTTCCAGCTCCCCACCAATACCTTTGCAGAAGTGGCTTTTTTCTTGGCTTTTTCAGGCCTTTATAATTGTAACACTCTCTTGGAAAGAACTGATGGATTTAAAAGGAACAGTAACAATTAATCATATATAATGCTATGACGGCCAAAATTATCAACCCCAACAACATGTCAGAGTAATAAAACATAGAGAATTTGTAAGGGAGAGTAATATGAGACTACAGTAAATATGCATGTGTCACACATATGTAAATAAAGACAGATAAGAAACTTCAGCCTATCCACACATACCTACAGAGGTTGGTTCTCTATATACATATGCATAAGTAACAAAGAGAGATAAATTACTAAATTTCATAAGTTATTTCTCTATCAACAAAAAGAGGAAAAATACTATCAAAGGAAATCCATTTCATACCTTTACAAAGAACAAGACTGAGACAATTATTGCCTAAATTATTGCATGGGGAGTATTTGTCTTTAATAAAAGCAAACACTGTTCCTTAAAAATATTGAGCATTCAAAATTTTCCTTGCTCTCTAGTCTGCCATTGTTGCTTTGTTTGTAGTGCTACAAGTTGAACATATGTTTTTGTTCTTAAAATATCTTTTATATGAAGGAGAGATGAGAACAAGGAGAACAAGAATTTAGAAAATAGCTAGAGGTTAAAAGTAGCTTGCAAAAGAGAAAAGCGCATTTCTCCCACTTCTCAGATC